AATGAAATTTATCATCGTCAATAATTGGTGTCCCAAGGTTGATGCACCATCATTTCCTGTGCAATATTTTGGACAAGCGGGCGAGGAATTCACGCACGAACGCAATAGACACGCAAGCAAGGGAGCATGCGCGCGCACACTTCACTGGCACACCACCATCCGCCTTGCTCGTGTGAACTTATAAACGAAAAACTTGGTAAATCACTTCAAGTCCCCATCTGCCTCCCGCCCCTGTACACTGTCCAAACAAATTAGAATCACTCCACACCTATTCCTACTTCATCAATTGGTTCCCGGTGAACCTGTGCCGTCCAGTTCAGTTGACCTCTACAGAGCCCCCCGGCGTCATATATAACAATCCTCCAACAAGAATGACAACACTATATTACACCAAACGTCCTGGTAACTTCAAATAACCTTAACATTGAGGTACGTCGGTATGGGGAAGCCGGTTATTGAACCGGGTGTCAGCTGGACGTCAGTCCAGTCGTCAGCCTCGGGCGTTGACAGCTGGGACGTCAGCGTGGAGACCGGAGTGGACACTAGCGAGGGTCTGGCCCTCAGGACTCGTCTTTTGTGTCCGACTCCGTTCACCAACAGCGACTCCGTTATCACAACCATCTGACTGACTGAGGCGCCACTCCTGGCGACCCTCGTCAAGTACAAACAACCAACCACTTCACGTCCTGAAACTGGTAATTAACTCTAAACGCGTCGCGTCGTACAACACTTTCCCCTACACACCGCTCAACCAAGTCTCTCAACAATTAAGAGACTAAAATTTACTCCTAACAGTTTATACAAACAGCGTCCAAAGATTTACAACCAACGACACTACCACTCAAACACAACGCTAATTCGTTACGCGAGGAAGACAAAGATTTTGTCCTTTGTGTGCAGCACGAAGTTTAAATATTAAATAAACCCTTTCCCCATAATAAAGAAATACAAGTAAAGAACAAACAATAATTGCTACAAAAATACCAACTCAAAAATCAAGTCAGAAAACTTGAGGATAAAAGAACTTCCAATGACGGTGGCAGCTTAAAGAAACGAGTAGTGGGGGGTTAGAGGAGGTGCAGTAGTGGAGTGGGGGAGGGGGAGGTTCTGCTCGTAGGAGGAGGAGCACGAGACAAGCATAATGGCAGGGGTCTGGGAGGAGCAACAAGGGGTCCCTGGCTCTGGTGATGGAGTATTGGTGAGTTATAGAGGTGGGAGGAGGAGGTGGTGGGGGGAGGTGGTGGTGGGAGGAAGGAGGCGGCGGTGGGAGGATTAAATAGAGGAGCAGAAGAAGAAAGAAGAAGAGTAGGAGGGCCTGGAAATAAGCGAGGGATCCCTGGAAGTCAGAAAGTTAACGAGTTGATCCCGGAAGACTGAAGATAAAGCTCTGGAAACAAGTAACGGGGCCATAGATCTGGGGGAGGAGGAAGGCGAGTGACTCCAGCAGGAAGTACAACATCTGAAGGCGGCTACTGACTCTGGTCTAACTTCCTTACTGCTCACTGTTTGCATACCCAGACTATTTAGGTATTTTTTTTTTTGGTATACTTGCACTATGTATGTTGTTTACCGGCACTATCCATACACATGCTGAATTATATACCTGTACTGTCTATATACATAATGAATTGTATGTATACCTGCATTGTCTAATGTACATGCTGAATAAATGGAAAAAAAAGACGATTTTACTGAATAAAATTGAAACTGATCTGAATCCGGTGAATCATGAAGCAGTTATCGGATAAGGAAGACTGTTGAAGAGAAGGGAAGAGGCGGTAGGATCCGGGAACAACTGACCAAGGTGGGATTAAAAAGGCAAGTGGCATTTAGTAAGAGGCGCTTGAGGAAGAATCAAGAGGAGGAGGGAGGAGGAGGAAGAATCAGGAGGAAGAGGAAGAAGGCGGAATAAATAAAAATGGGCTTTAAAAGGTTGGATGGGGGAAGCATGAACTGAGAGAAGGTTGGAGGAGAGAAATCCGAGCTGAGAGAAACTTGATGTAATGACGTGGTGGGAAACCTGAAGGAGATCCGAAGCAGAACAATCCCGGCAAAGGGTGAAGACGCCGGGTGGTGTGGTGGCAGTTGGTGGGAGTGACTGGCGGAGTAATTATCCCCCAATGAGCTGCTCCTCTCCCCGGGCCTCGCCACCATCAACCCCCACACACACACACGAGGCCAAGCACCAATAGATACAAAGACCATCCAAAACTAGACCTTACACAAACGGACCCCAAAGAAGAAAGGAAAAACACACGGAATCGACATCGTTCAACACTAATCTACTTTCCCATAAAAAAAAACAAGATCCGGATCCCCATTACAAAAAAAAAAAACACCTTTGACTCCATAGTTTACAGGAAAAATATTGATCATCGAACCCCAAGATCCATTTGTATTAGGTAAATTTATCGCGTTTCCGATGGTCAGGACAGACGGACAAAGACAACCACCCTCCCCCTAGTCGGGTCGCGATCTAGAAAATAAACAACGAGCTCTCAACCACCAAAAAATAAATAAACCTAAACACCTCAGTTCCCCCAAAACAAACTTGTGCAATTAAAATATCAAGAACGCCGAGAATTTATATATATTTTTTTTTTATGTTTAGTTCATCGTGTTGGCGTAGGAGCTGGGTGATGAATGGTCTTCTCACGACTTCCGTCACCGCCCCCACCACCACGACCAAAAACTTACCGTATGTCAAGACGACCCACATCAGTCATGGAAGAGACGAGGACAGTTACAAGGAATAAGTCGAGTGGAATAGGGCGAGAAGCGATAGGTGTAGGATGGTGGGTTAGTGTTGCTTCAGGGAGCTGACAAGGGTGGCAGGAATATAGCTGCGGTGATTCAGATCCCCCCCCCGCATGTTAGCTTGTTTATTAGGCACCCCAGCTGAGGAGAGACGGAGGATGGGTCGGGTAGGGTGAAAGGTCGTCTTCTGAGGGAAAGCACATCATCCATCAACCACCAGTTCAAAGTTTAGGGAAGGTTGTCGCCTTGGTCGACCCCATGTTTACACTAAATGGTGACGCCGCCCCCCCCTCTTGGGAACACCCATCATTCTCCAACTCGAGTTTTCCTTCAAATCCTTCTCCTCTAACTCACTCACCCCCCTCCTTCACCACTCTTCCTCCAGTGACAACCTCGGGGACTTCCTCGATCCTAACCAGCCACCCTGAGGTAATGCATCACCTTCAAGACAACAATTCGTCACCGCGTCGCCTCCACCCCAACAGAGTAGCGTGTTTATGGCGCCTTACACATATATATACACCGTTCTTTTTTTTCTGTCAACATTAAGACCATTGTTTGAGACCAAACACTGACCAGACTGGGACAACCCCACAATACCGGAGAATATATACCACAGTTTTCTGTATAAAGCTACACACACACGTTCCTCTCTGAACTAATCCCACCTGCGCGCGCGCACACCGTGTTAATCTTGCGTCCATCTTAAGTGCCGCAGAAGCTGTTTTACACGTCCATACAAACTTTAAACAGCGCCACCTGTTGAGTGCCCGTTAAAAGCCCTTTATTACCCAGCACACACACACACGACGCAGCCAATCACACCCGTTTATAGTAACACTCACGGGAGCTATACTGTCCACCGTCCTAACATACTAGCCACCATTCGTTACTCCTACATCAACACATTACTGTAACGCCCCCTGTAGCTATATCATCTCTTATCGCAAAATAATCATTCTTCGTTACTATTAAATGCTGTTATACGTTACCCCTGCTTGTTGGTACGACTCGTTCCCACAACCCATGACTGCCCAGAACCACCCGTTAACTACCATACCCGCAAGCATTACGACCCACCAAACAACTTTTAACCACCAACTGGCCCCGCTCTTAAAGGCCACCCCCCACCAACTACCCAAACTATCAACGCTCCTAGTCACTACGACTCCCCCCTGACGATATATGACCCAGAAAACGACAAGAGGCAACGACCTGCTGTTTCGCCCCTCACAGCCACACCAGTAAACTTGCCTCAATGACCTACGATTCACCTTCATCCCAATAACGGCAGCTCAGGGGCCCTGGTGTAGCCCGCCTAGCTTGACAACACCACTATATTACCCTACCTTCTCATGCCACCGTGGGAGACAACAAAACTGATCTTATCCTCCTGGTACTGAAACAACCAATTCCTTCCACTGATAAAAATAAAGCCATGGCTTTATTAAAGGTGCTCCTCCCTCTATCACTGCCTGGGAGACCATGAGTGTGGCAGGAGTCGACCCTCAGCGGTGAAATGGTTAGTTCTTGTATAAAAATAAATCCCCCTCGCCCCTCCTATAAAGCACATTGGCTTATTCTAGTTCAGGTAACCTAACAATTTTTCAATCCACGGCAAATTTTTTTTCCCAACAAGAGACGTGGGCGGCGCGACGAGGACACCCCCCCCCCCCTTCCACTTTTTAGTTCTCATTACGTTACAGTATATCAGTTTGTATATTTTTTCTGTTTATAGCAATGAATTCAACGTGTCCGAGATAACACAAGAACTCTGCAGTGAGTATTTGACATTAGTCCAAAATCTCCTTATCCACGACACGCTCAACAGGCTCCTCGTCTAATCCCATTTTACTCGCTGGGTATTCGAGGGCAAGATACTTCTCCGGAACAGACGTTCAACCTTTAGCATAACGAGTGTAGTGACCTACAACCTTTCCCCTCAGCCCATAACATTAGTTTTATTCTGACAGATCAACTAACATGTTTTCTTTTTACAGGAGAAAGCATCTGGCTTTCCTAAGAGAGAGAGAGAGAGAGAGAGAGAGATTATACCCCCCTTACACTGGGACTCAAGCCACATAAATCTTGTCTCTAGATCGTCTTACTCAAGGTGAATCAACTAACGACTTTATTCCAGTCAAAGAAAATGTTTTAAGTTGTCGAGAAGATGGCAAAGCTTGGTGGCCCAGCATGCAAGAGGAGGCCCCGGCACCAGTAGCTACACCTACTATAATACTGACCTCCTCCTTAGCTACATCGCCGTTGGTGTTCTCAACCTTGGCAACTTTCTTCTCTCGGCGGAGGAACGAGAAACTCCTGAAAGGGGAAACACGTGCACTTATTAATAATTTTTGTCCAGGTCAGGTACAAGTCAACACACACCTCCCTACTGTTACCTGGCAATTATTTCTGTTGGTTTTCATAACATATGTCGGAACAAACACAAAACTTTAATACATTAGAAAAATCAGATAGTTGGAATTCAAATCTCCCTCACCTAATGTTTCCCAAGTACTTCCACACCAGATACTGCCAATTGTCCAGGGAACTTTGGCAGTAAGGACACACACACACACACACACACACACACACACACACACACACACACACACACACACACACACTCACTCACTCTACAATCTCAATAAGTGTGACAATCTAAAGATATCCGTCAATTAAAAATTCCAAATTGTAAAAAGTGTCCAGAAAAATAATCTTTGGCACGAAGTATAATAAGAGGAATCAAATATAAAAGATTATGTTTTTAGTATTGCAACCTATTGTTCCTTGTTTATGGGAATTCTGTAAAGTTGAGCGACCTACAGACTGTCACATGTACGGAGTCGCATGTAAGAGGCCATTGTACACCTGTCAACACTTACCTGAATGATTTCTTCTTCTTAACCTTCTTCTCTTTCTTCTCTTCCTCTTTCTTTTCTTCTTCCTTCTTTTCTGTTTCCCTATTTTCTTCTTTGTTATTTTCGTTCTTTTCCTGAAACAAGAAAAAACAGAAAATCAGTACAAATTAAGAAGTACAACAAGGTGGCGTCTGTCTTCAATGTGCACTCAATAATAAATCTCATGAACGCAGTATCACATTTCAGATCGTCACAATATCATCAGGACTGACACACACACACGTCACAAAACAACTCATACACCGTAGGCGTCACGCACCGCCCACAACAAAATTAAGTCAATATAGCGGATATATTCATAAAAATCACAAATCACCAAATGATTCCATCAACACTGAGGAGAAATCTACCACGCGTGATTGTGGTAGTAACATGGCATCGTCACAAACGACCATTCCAGTAGCGGCCAGCGATTCAATGCAAAAAAAACAAGAGTGAATGCGTGAGTCTCCAAGCCAAATATCGGTACCTGCCGTTCACCACACTAGGAACAGTCTCCAGCGACCAGTGGGACAAAAAAGAGTCACCATACCAGTGCTGTATTGTGTGGTAGTGAAGAACAAACAAAAAATGAAAGCCTGGTAATGTTTGCAACAAAATCAAACTGTCTTAAAAAAATATCTAGCAGGTGAGAAATAAAAACCACATCTCGTAGACTGTGTTTTGTAATTTGTAAGGAAGCTTTGTAATAATTTGCAATGGAAAAAATACCACCCAAAAGCCTTTAAATCAATCCAAATGTTACATCTTGCATCTCTGAACAATAGGGAAGCTTTTCATATCTTGCAACATTGAAATGAACCTGAGAATGGATGCGTCCATTTTCACAAACATGATTCAACCACGCGGCGGTCGTGATGTGCAACCAAGATCAACCATACAGAATCTGTGTGTGTGGCAGCCGAAGTTAACAAAAAAATTAATCTATACCATTAAAATATTGTAAATTAAAACAGAAGCAGATAACGTATTTTAACAAAAATACAACAGCGAGAATGTACTTTACAACAGCAAAATATTCAGCAACAATGTATTTTACAGTAGCAAAATAATACATAAACATTGTATGCATTTCACAGCAGCAGCAAAAAAAAAAATACAACGGCGTCATGAATGTATTTACAGCAACAAAAATACATAACAGTAGCAAAATATAAAACAGCAGCAATGTATTTAACAGCAACAAAAAAAAAATTTCATAACAGCCTCAATCTGCATGACATGACATTCAGTACTCGCCAGAGAAGCACATCAGGAATATCGGCGTAGCCTCCACAAGCAACGCCTTACACACCTGTAGTACACTGTATTATTTACCTGCTTCTCGGCGAGGGGTTAACACGTGGTCCCTCCCCCATCCTGGCTTCGTATGTAAAGGTCGCCGTGTGTTGTGGGTAATCGAAAGTATCAGGATCAGTACAGCTGGTGTAAGGATCAGTACAGCTGGTGGAAGGATCAGTACAGCATGTGGAAGGATCAGTACAGCTGGTGGAAGGATCAGTACAGCAGGTGGAAGGATCAGTACAGCTGGTGGAAGGATCAGTACAGCTGGTGGAAGGAGGATGATCACACCACCTTTAAGCACCTTGGTCGTGTTCGTCGCAGACTAGATTACCATGGAAGGTCAATGGTTAAAATTGTCACCAGAGGGGTGGGTGTAAACTGTCATCAGGGGGGTGGGTGTAAACTGTCATCAAGGGGGTGGGTGTAAACTGTCATCAAGGGGGTGGGTGTAAACTGTCATCAAGGGGGGTGGGTGTAAACTGCCAGAGGGCAAATGTCAAATGTTAACTATCACAGACGGATGTAAACTAAATGTCAACAGTAAAATGAAACTCAAAAAAGGATGTTTGGAGAATACAACTGTGTAAACAAGTGTAAAGTCCACGCCCTCTCCCCCTCGGAAACACCCAGGAGGAGGAAGACACTGTCCTTATTCTTGGTCGAGGAGAAGCTACCGACCAATCACAAACTCCCTTAACAGCCGGCCAATTAACATCACTGCCCCCCCCCCATAAACGATTCTATTCAATCCTTTCATAAACAACAGTAAACAAGGATAATGATGTTCCAGGTTATAAATAAAGAATCGAGTTTAATCCTTGGCCCGAGCAGCTTCTAAGTTTGTGGGAACCGCGCCATCTTGAGCATCAAACTCACTGCCACTGAACAGCTTTAAAAAGTTTTCCCCAGTTGTGTTAATTTCTCCACGTTTCAGTCCATTAGTCTGTTTCCGCTTACAACTCTCCCCCACTCATCCTCCTGCCCTTCCTCCCACTCACCCATCCATCATATACTATCCTCAACTCTCCATTATTTACCTTACATACAGGTACAACTTTTTGTTAGGCCCGTTAAGTGATTCTCAGAAAGGTTAACAAATGGACGCGGACACCAGCACCCAACAACAACAAACCACTTAGCTTAACCTGTCAAGTAGACTTAATAAAACTATTATATTTTGGTCCAGTTTTGAACACTATCTTCCCCTTGGCTCTCTACTACACCCCAGCTGCTCCTCCCTCCCTCCCCTGAGAAAACACAGACAGGAATTTGTCAAGTAAATAACACGACCTTGTATACGGGGGTGAGGGGGGAGAGGCAGGAGAGAGGAGAGGTGGAGGAGAGGCAGGAGAGAGGAGAGGTGGGGGAAGGCGAGAGGAGAGGGGGAAGATGGGAGAAACGTCAGACTCCCCCCCTTTCACACACACACAGGATGAACGATCAGCAACTAAGCATCATACTCTTAAAAAGTGTTGATAATATCGTGGCGTGTAACTCGACGCCGGGGCAGTAAAACTTAACGCTTTGTTGGTACACTTTCTCACTCGACGTCGGATGTTAACTCCAGAGGGCCTTGTATTTTAAGAGTGTCTGCGGCGACGATGACGCTAACGGACTTTTGCACCAGTTCACTAATTCCTTGCTTGTTTGTTCAGCTCGAGAAGTGCCCGGCGTGTGTAAATTATTTAAACTGGGTAGGGGCAGCAGAGGGAGGCCAACACACAACATTCCTAGGGCACGGAGGCGGATAGGGTGAGGGGAGGGATGTGTGAGGCGCTAGACACCAGCAGGAAAAGAGGGAGACACCCGAAGACCTGCCACAGATGCGGTGAGGGACATCTTGGCTGGTAGGGAGGGTACGGGGAGGGCAGGAGTACAGTGAGTTAAGGTCCTCCCAAAAGCACCAGATGGAAGGTAAGTGATGTTTGGTGTTCATTACCGTTCCTCCCGTCCCACTTCAACCCTCTGGTCACCCACCCGTCCCACTTCAACCCTCTGGTCACCCTACCGCCCCGTTCCTCCTCCCCCACACACACACATACCATCCCACGGTCCCAAAACACCACTTCCAACACTTAAGTCAAATTACATCCCACATTACCCCCTCTCCCACAGCCACCGCTTTATAATCTCATCTCTAACATCATCTCGTTCATCATGAGCCTCGTCCACCCACACACACTAGGCGACGCTACATGGACTACTCGCCCGACTCACGCACTGGCAGGAATTCCACCAGTTTCATCCCCGACTATGGGATAGGAAGGCGGTGGTCCACAGCCGACTAGAGGCGCCACAGGATCGTAAACACAAAAGGTATATTAGTATTGGGGAGCCTAGGTTTATGTTGCCAGGAACCCCAAGACAGGGTTACGAGACAACCCACCAGAGACCCTAGTGTTGCAAGGGGACAAGGAAGACCTACGTTAACCAAAAATAACCAGTATAACACAAGGGTCAATATAGCTGTCCGGGGGCCGTATTATACTGAAGCGGAGTTATATGAAGGGCAACAATTAGTGCGGTTACGAGCCTATACTACCCGCCCACCAAAGACCAGTCTGTTGTGTATCCAAAGAATCTTCAATGGTATATACAATGAACCTTTAATACCGTGTGTGCGTGCAGAAAGTCCAGAGTGGTCTACCCGAAGAACCGTGACGGGTATCGGAGAATCCTGCAGCATCACTCAATATTTAGCCTAATAAGCGAAAAGAAAGTCCGGCAAGGGGGACATTGTGGACGTAGGTAAGAGGGGGGAGAAGGGGTGAGGGGTGGTAGGGAGAGGAGGGGGAGGGGGAGGAGGGAGGGGGAGGGGAGGGAGGGGGAGGTAGGGAGGTGGGAGGGAGGGAGAAGGGAGGGGGAGGAAGGCTATGTTCCCGATAGTATATCATAGAAACGTATTGAGAGTGGGAAAGAGAAAGGGAGAGAGAATGGAAGAAAGACTCATTAAATTTTGTTTATTGGGGAGAATTTGCCTTTACTGGGAGTCAATTTGATGGACTGCTGTACCAAATATCTGTTTTATAGTGGAGAGATTCAGCCTATGTAGATACAGAACCACAGTAGTATTTAGAGTTAACTGTGGGAGGGTGAGCTGGGTAGTGAATGACGCCCGCACGCACGTTCACATCCCCCCATAAACAACCCTCCCTGATAACGCTTATTGTCTCAATTCCTACCACTTGACACCTCCAGTACCACCTTACACACTGGGGCTACCAAGGGACTTTACCACTAACTCCCCCTCCCCGGCTTTCCAAAATCCTCACCCACTGTCGTCCTCAGAGCCACCACTGCACCTCCTCCTCCATCACTTCCGCTTATCCACACTATCCCCATCCTTCATCCCGGGCTCGCTGGGTCTACCATAAGATACATCAGGAGGAAGAGAGGGGGAGACAAATGGAGAGAGACGGTGATAATTTATATTTTACGAGTGGTGATAAAGGTGTCAGCCAGCCCTTCCCGTCGGCCATAGTCGGCAGCAGCAGACAGTCGGGGCTACACGTCTCCTGCCGCTTCTTTGACTCGTCTCCTCCGGGTTACTCCTCCCCACCCTCCCAGGGCACACTGCGGCTCCCATACTAGGTCTAGGTCGTCCACGATCTTCGACGCACTAAAAAGCAGATCTAACGCACCCCATGGCAGTCGTTACGCACCTCAGCACCCAACGTACTTTAGGACATATTAAACGCCAAAGTAGCCTTAGATCTTAAAACGCGGAACATTTCGACAAAACCTAACGAGAAGGAAAGTTATACCATTTAATAGTTTTTTTAAACAGTTACTAGACTAACAAATGCCAGGAACCCAATCAGTCTCTGCAAACTCAAGTGTATAAAAATCAATACAAGGTCAGCAGTGACACCAATATATAGGTCAATAATGAATGGCACTAATCCACACGGCACTAAATTTGTAAACAACTTCCAATTACATAAAATGAATCGAATTTATCGTTGTGTTGAAGTGAAGGTGTATGACTTCTACAAAACCTAGTGTAACAAAAACAAGGGCAAAATATTTCAAACCTTCACAACAAACATTCCACTGTAGCTCAAGGTGTACCCCCCCCCCCCCCGTCCCTCTCAACCTGCACACATTCAACAGCAGAGATCAGATAACACAACTGGTTTGGTCCAGTGTTTTGTGTGTAATTATCTACAAGAGATCAGCTGAACATGCTACTAAAAGAAACACTCACTCGGTAGTTTTTGTGAACACCCTAAGGAGTTCAACAATCCACTCCCCTGTGTTATTACTGTTCTTAGTTGTTCCTCACTAATCATTATTAACTGCCCTGACATATGGAGTAAGGGAGCGTGTGTGAGGATACTGGATCAGGGTCTGGAAGGTGACATCTGTGGTGGGAGGCAAGATGAACCCATCTCACCACACCCACACCAATATAACCGGTTGATGACTGCCAAAGGCCTCGGCTCCTGCCTCCCTTTTAAACCCACCCACCTCGCACACAAGCAACTCCTCTCACCCTTCGCACATACCCGCCCCACAGCCTGACTTCTCCCCATGCACCCTCCACTAGCAACATTCCTTCCCCTCCCGCCGTGCATTCCTCAAACACCCTCTCCTTACACAAGACCAGACGGGGCGCCCCCTCTTGGTGACAGGACGGAGTGGGGCCGACTGAGTCAGCAAACACTCAGGCGGGTGTTCATTATCACAACCATAACCGCCTGGTGGACCATCAGAGGTTCATTAGCAAACACTGATGACGCCAGACGATCAGGTCTAGTCTCCGCTTCATCATCGTCTTAAGTGTCCGGGAACATTCCTCCTGCACCAGCTGCCGCATCAACATGTTCCTGACCATCGTCACTACAAGCCCCCCGTAAAACCCGTCCCAAACCACTACCACCATTACCGTCCAAACAATTCTCGTCCTCTCATGGCCCGGCTATTCCTCATGCCCTGCTTCTCCCAGTGTCCTACGCTCACCACACCTAACCCGTCCCGTCCCATCCTCCTGAGGATCGCTGTTGTCACCGTGCAGGACGTCGGCAGCAACCACTAAGCAGCGACACTGGTGCAACAGTTGACGCCTCACTAGTATACAGACCTGACGAAGCGCTCCCTCAGCACCACCAGGACAAGAAGTAACGCTGACGTCACCTTCACAACACCCGCTAGATTGGAAATAAGTACAGCTGACTGGGATGCTGCCTGGCCAACAGCTGTCACTGCGGGCGGGGGAGGTGGGAGGAGCAGCGACATAATGAAGGAAACAAGATCCTAGTCAAAATGTATTTTCCTCTCAGTCAGGTGCAAACTAAGTTCCTCCATTAGAACAAGCCAATGTGTTCAAATCTTTATGTATTTGCTCAAGTCGAAGCATAACCAGCTCAACAAAACTACCTCGTGTGTCATCACCACGTGTGAGGGGGGGGAACTGATCGTCATATTCCAGTTGACTATAATACAACGTGTGGCAGACTGGACAAACTACTTCAAGTGTTAGGCAGGGAAGGTTTAAAGCAACTCGCTCACTCACCATAAAGTGGCCTTAAATACCGTAAATTAAAGTGGTATGTCCCACTCAGCCACTCCACACACCAGCCTCTTGGCCCCTCTACCCCTGCCCCCCATAACCTTTGACCTTCCGGGAGACACTTGTGGGTGTCCGACTGGCGACCATGTGCCATCTGCCCGCCGTCGCCACGCCTTCCACCACCCCCGCCTCACCACAACCAACTAGTAACTTGCCCACAAAAGTCTACATCGTAAACAAGAGTCAGCAGTCTGTATACAAAAATGCTCCATCTTTTTCGAAAAATTATACGAAATTACAATAAAAAATATCACCCGTGTACACAAGTCAATAACCTATTTATAGTTTACATAATTTTAAAATATGAATACCTTGGATATATATGGTACGTCAACGTGACATTCACTAGAGAGGCGAGTTTAAGACATTCCCAGATCAGTGGCCGCCAAAACACTCCCTAAAGATACTCCAACACTCCCACAAAGTCGAATCAAAAGTGAATTAATAAAAAGAACCCTTCTCCCGCTTAAAGAGTTCGTGTTCATACACACACAGATGACATCAGACATTCTTGCCACAGTTTCTGGTTTCACGTTAAACAAAAACGATACGTAAAAAATAAAGAATCCCTGATGTTACACGAGCCGTGAAAGGTTTTTTTTTCCTAGAGGATTAAATTCCTTACAAATAAAAGTTCACCTGACCACCCAAGAAGTAACTCTTTACCTGTACATCATGGAGGAAAATCTACGAAAGAATTATTATATTTGTCGATACTATTTGTACTGCTGTCACATCAGGTCACATGTCTATCACCCTCATAAACCCAGCTAATTAACCTACAAAATCATCATCATTTATTGTTAAGGATTCATGGACTCAAGAATGTTGAGAGCCGAGCTGTTGTGTTGAATCAGACGGTGGAGCAAGAGTCTAGGGCACAGGTGGTGACTGGCCGCCTCCACGTCACGCCCACCTCAGCTCATCCCCGCCCACACCTTAAAAATTGATACAATGAACCATACCCCATCAAAGTCGCCCTCACTGACAAATCAACACCAACCACCACCTAGAGCAGCAGCAGGTTAAGTGTGCAGTGCCTCGTGACAACCCTACCCCCTACTACGTCTCCTGGCCAGTCACACGACACGTCAAACCGAGCAGCTGCAGCCAGAGGGAAGTGTTACCTTAACTTCTATTTTTGTTCTTCCCGGAATGATAGGAGACTTGTATATCCGTCTATCACCACCAGTACTACCACACCCTTCAATAGCTCGTACTCGGCTCTCATCCTCGAGTCCTTGTAGTTTTAGTTCATCAAAGTATGTCGAGTGAATAAACAGTACTTATGAGTATACAGTCAAGTCTCGGGGGAAGGCAGACACGAGACGGGAAACTCGTGTACTTATCCTTAACTTCCAACACACGACGACGGCGATAAGCAATCTCCCCCCCTCCCAACTCCACCCCGACTCTGCTCACTCCCCTCCCAGCCTGTATACACTGCCCTCCAGCCCACTATCAAGGGGCCCTCTAACCATACTGTACCTTCCTCACATCAGATAATCTAAAAATCGGGATTATCACCAACTAGACCAACTCTTCACTACAGTACCGAGAGCTTTTGTTTTAGCACCTACCTCCCTCCCTCTCCCTCTCTCTCCTCGCACCCCCCACCCCCTTCTTCCTGACACCGCGGAGGAAACAAAAACTAGGCTATCACCGCATCACCGCCATACTTCCTCCACTACATCACTTGCTTCCCTGAGGACCAGTCACAAGACGCTCGTGACCAGGCAACCAACACCACACACCTTTTAAAACCAACCACGATCACCCACTCAACCATATCAGAGCAACACGCCTTCAATTCAGGCTCCCTCGTCAGTTACACTATGAGAACCAAACACTAGACTCTTGACTTGCCTAAACCACCCATAACCAACCGCTCAACCATACCGGAGCCAACGCCTTCCATTCAAAAGCTGAAAACTACCATCTTGCATCTCACGGGTAATCCCCCCCCCCCCTCCTCACTACCTCTCAGCCTACGAACTATCCCCACTATCATTCTAACCCTCCTTATCCATTTCCGCTCGCATCATTCTCCCCCACTCCAACCTCCCCTCCACCATTCTCCCCCACCTCAACCTTCCCTCCATCATTCTCCCATAAGGTACACCCTGTTCTCATTACTCCTACCCCCCCCCCTTCCCGCCTCATCAACCATCCAAGAATAAACGTCGCATGTTGCAATGCATTCAACCTTTCAGTGTACAGTAAGTAAACAACCTTTGCAACCATTCCCATCTAATTAGTTCCCCATACTAATCAGCTTGGCAAATAAAAGCTAACGTTGCAATGCTATCTTTGTTTACCCAATGGCAGGCATCTCAAATTATACTAACCAATAGCGCTTCACCTTGCGATTGTATTATCCAACCTATCAAAAGGCGTTCAGCACCCTTCTAACCAATCACAGTACGTCCAGTAACCACCCAACCAATGACAGAACGTCCAGCACCTATCTAACCAATCATAACGTCCAGCACCATATTCAGCCAGTCAAAGGATAGGACAAGAGTGGAACCGACCAATGAGTAGAGAGCCTTGCAAGGACTTTGACCCTCCATCCAGGCAGATCTAGCTACACCACCAGTTTCCTGTTTCCGTGCAAGATGGCGTGTCCTCGTCCACTGTTGTCCCACCCCGCTCCCCTGCACGATGGAGCAGCTCACGAATGGGGGAGGAGAGTTCCTTGAAATAGTATCAGTGGATTCCATGCAAACGGGAAGGTGGTTGTTCTTCGAATGGAGAAGAGGGGGGGATCCATGGAAACGAGCACCACGGGCACGGGGGCCTTGGAACGGGCACGGGGGCCTTGGAAACGGGCAGCACCCTCCTAAAATAGGGTCTTCTCAGAAGGCGTGACGATGTAGTACACAAAACCCAAACGAGGGTGTAACAGACTACCAATTGGTTACGTTAAGACACGTAAAAGGTTAAAAAATCTTCGTGTAAACCCTCCATCAGTCAAGCTCAGACGGGTGGACCAAGCCGACTTCACGCACCCCCCCAAGTACATATTGAATCGCCGCGATGTTATTTCTACTACAACGGACAAATTTATAATATAACATGCAGCAAGACAATTCTACGGTAAAATACAAAACTAAAATATAATTATACTAGTGTCAGACTACATTACGTCGCTCGTGCTGTTGTCATATTTATAGGTGGTGCAGATGGGAACTTTTCAAACCGTACCCAATAATAATAACAAACCAACACTAATACAGTACAGCGATTACAGTAAGGTCTAAAAAACAAGCTACAGGATCGTTCATGTAAAACCAGATATAAATAAGGGGAACGGCAGCCGGGGACTAGGGAGGGGGAGAAGGAAAACGAGCTTGGTATTTTTTTTTTTTTTAATTTCAACTAACTTTCGTAATGACCACAAAGCCAACGGCGAAAAAATCTCAGCTGACCAATTACGGACAACATTATATTATCTTTTTTTTTTACGCAGATAAACTGAGAATGAAGGAAGTACAGTACTGTAGACTGATCTCAAGTTGGCGAGGCGTGTGGTGTGGCGGCGATAGACTGCACCCATCACCCTCCCGTTGTTATCAATTCAACTAATGAATACAAATACGAACAACCTAATCTGGGTGTTTCTTGGAGCCGTAATAAAACTTTATTCTTAGATAAGAATAATGGTTGGGCTGACAGTTGGTCCCACGGTTTGAAAATCCAGACGTACCAACTCTCCCACTTCCTGTCCTCTCAGCGCTGCCAAACCCGCTTATCCTTTTTTTGTGGTGTTATCGGGGACTTAAGTGGTTTTTAAAATCGTTTTATCTCATCTCGAACTCATTATGTTCAATAATATAAAGTAATAAATTCTAAGCATGAAGCCAGAAACCGAAAAAATAAATAAATTACCCCGGTCAACATCGTTCATATCCCGTGGACCAAACTTGCCAGGTTCCTCCTCTAGTTTATCTTTTATGTATTTTGATAATGCCTCTTCCAAATATATTATCTTGTTAACTTGACGTACTACTAAATATAGCGATTGTTAAACTCTCCACCAGCAACATGAACCAAATCAAGAGAGGCTTCACATAAACGCCAGACGTACACACACTGCCAACGTTTTACGAACCAGCCTACTGATTATAGCAAGTTATTTTTTTTTTGTCGTTCCTAAACACATCTCACAAGAAAGAGACAACTTAACCACAAAGAATCAGAAGATGTAATACTGATCACAATCGGCATAAATACAACTCCGATACGTTTCAATTTAAAGTAAG